TGGTGCTATTCTTAATTTAACAAGTGCAGTGATTCACTTAAAAGTGGACAAGAAAGATCATAAAATGGGGCAAAACTCACTTAACAACTGTCTCAGAAATTTTGGGCTCAGTTGTGGTCATAAGTCAAGGACTACTTGTGCAGGGGACAAATGCTATCGTTGCCCAAACGAGGTGGCAAGAATCTAACGCACCATATTCAAGGTAAGACTGTGGCCCAGGCAATTAAATACAGCTGAACTGCTACCTCAAATGCCAGCAGGCAGAATTCATAGAAGCAAGAATAGAGCTTTTTTTATCGGGACTTTCCTGAAGCTGAAATGAGCTGCCTGCAATCGATTCAGTATCTTTCTCATAAGCAGATAACAGCAAAGAGGAGAATTCCCACTAATCTTCTCTTAACGCCTTTAGAATTTGATTTTTGACAGAAGAGATTACTTGATAGAGGAATATTTGGTGTTTGATTGAGGAGAATAGCACTGATGACGTTACCTAGTTTGGGTAAGGAAAGGTCTGCAAGAGAATTTATTTACGTAATATATTTAAGGATATATTTAAACCAGGGGTCTTCAAATCTGGCCCTTTTAGGACTTGTGGACTTCAACTCCCAGAATTCCTCAGCCAGCGGGCCCGCTGGCTGAGGAATTCTGGGAGTTGAAGTCCACAAGTCATAAAAGGGCAAGTTTGAATCACAGCGGCAAGGTTGTTAGTAGGGCAATGTTGGAAGAAGGAATCTTTGCCTACCTTGCAAGAGTGGTTTTTTTAAAGTTTCTTATTTGGTGGAAATGGCAAAGATTTCGGCTTTCTTGAAAGACCAATCGCAAGAGAAGTATTTTTTGGTATGGAAAAAATGGATAGACTTTATACAATATAAGTTGGATATAAAAAAATATTATTTAGCTTTTCAATAACTTATACTTAAAATTTAAGATATTTTATAGACTTTTTTCCTTTTTCTTTCTTCCTATTTCCTCGTATTTCCTTGTATTTTTGTTTTTTTATACATATATTATTGTTAACTAGTTTACAATTTGTTTAATTAATGTATTTAGATTTGTTTATGGTTTATATTTGTTTTAAGACTTTTTGAAAAAATATTAATTAAGCCTGTATTCAGCTCTGGGAAGGTCGGGGGAGGGCATGGGAGGGCTGGGGGGGCTTGGGGAAGGGAACCGTATTGTTTTGTAAAATTTAAAAATTTTCAATTAAAAAAAAAAAAAAGGGCAAGTTTGAAGAGCCCTGATTTAAACCCTTCTTTTCAGTATAGAAGCCCTTAGAGCAGCAACAGGAAAATAATTAACAAAATTGTACTCTCTAACAAGCATTTTCCCATCAGAAATTTGCTTTGAATTTTAATATATTGCTGTGATGTAATTCTTTCAGTTTAAAGCAGACCTGGGCAATTTACAGCCCCTGGACCACCTCTGACCCTTTGGCTGTCCCTGTCCACTCAGATGGATTGCTTTTACTTTGAAGTTGATTACATTTCCCCCCCCCCTCCCCCGCTTTACATATGTGCATGTGTGCCTGCCTACATACCTTCATAGCCCTATTGGTTCAGCCCTCCACAATAGTTCCAGTTTCTGCTCACCCCTGGTTTATAAATTAGATTTTGACAAGTAATGATTTAAGGCTTTTATCCTGGAGTGTACAAATATAATTCCTTTCTCTCCTCCTTTGCAATCAGGTAACGAATTCAAGAGTTACCTTGCAGCAAAATGGGAAACAAATAAATAATATAAATAAACAAACAAACAAATAAATAATAAAAAAACTAAGTGCCTTCTTACCAAACTTTGCATCCTTTCTGGATTTCTAAGGCGTGAGGATGGGGAGTAACACTTTGCAAGTCATGACAACATTGTGCAAATGATACAGTTTTGTACTGCATCATTTGCATTGTAAAACAACTGACGGAAATAATTTGTTTTGTTTTTTTGCCTGATGATCTTGTGATGTATGTCATTGTGATTTCAACCAGATGCCTCTGCTATGGCAATCATAATGCTGGCAGGGATTCAATTCTTTCAGTCAGCTATGCTGTCATTTATGAAGGGAGAATAGAATTAGAATCACAATAAAACTTTATAAAAATATATATTCCAATTATTTTACAAGTTCCAGACTTGATTGCAAAGTGCTTAGATTGGTAAAGACATAGAATCGGCTGCTTCCATAAGTCAAAGATGGATAATTTATGGCCTGCATTATGTTTTTGAATGTCTTTTTACAGTCTTCGGCATCATGGAAAGTTGTACTGTTGAAATTGCAAGTCAAATTGCAGAGATGCAGTTTTCTCATAGTTTATATTCAGTGCTTGATAGATAGATAGGCAGGTAGATGATAGATAGATAGGTAGGTAGGTAGATAGACGTAGATAATATACAGAAGAGAGAGGGGGGAAATAATAGATAGACAGATAGATAATCTAAACAGAAAAAATACAATTATTCCAGTGCAGTCATTCATGCTATTCCTACCTATCTAGCACATGGCCATTTAATGCATATATATATTTCCTTGAAATTCTTGCAGACTGTAAAAATAACCTGGCTCATCCTCATGCCTTGCTAAGCATGGCACAAAGATCTGTTACTAACTCTTTACGGGAGGATGTAGTCTGATGACATTACTATTATCTTATCCCCAGCCTCCTCCAAATGCAGTATAAATCCAACCTTTACTGTTTTAACCTCTCTCTTCCCCTGACACGCTGGCATTGTCCGGGGTTGGTATTTGTCCACTTCCTATCTGCCACTTGTGGTGCTACAGGTATGCCATTCCAATCACTGGCATTATCCCTTGTGGCTATTTTAACTTGCGTTGTCAGAGAGAATGGCTATTATGGAGATTCTTTTCAGAAATGGGTTTAATACTCTTCTGAAGGAATCCTAGACATGTTGTTAAGCATGTGCTCAGTGGTCTTTTGAAAAAGTAGTAGAACTCCTTTAAAAAAAAACAGACAGGAACTCCAATTGATTTAAATTGGGAAAAGAGCCAAATTCTACAGCTCTCTGCATCCGATTCTGTCCCAAAGGCCTGCATCATAAAGTCTCTTTTTTAATAATAGTTTTATCGATCTATCAAACTATAAAATACAAGGAGAAATTCAAAAAAAAGTAATAGAAAACTAGGAGGGGGGAGGGAAAATAAAAAAAAATAGTGTAAAGAGGGAAAAGAAAAAAGGGACCAACTTCCAACTGTCTTCACATCATAGAGTTTTTGATTTATTGCTGTTGTTGTTGTTGATGATGTTGCTTTGGAGTTTTGCGTGGCTGTATTCTCTATTTGTTTTATTATTTGAGGAAGTGCCATTTAATTTCTGCCAACGCTATTTGGTGTATCCTCTGGATTATTTCCAGATGCTACCAGCCACAGCCATTTGCTGTCAATACTTCACCTTGCAGCATTTATCAATAAACTCCTTCCAGTTCATCCCACACTGGCTGACAAGAGTACACACACAGTGGAGACAAAGACTAAAGTGAGACAAAGCTCTTTGAACTCATCTGCCACACCTGTGACCTGTCAATTGGGCTATCACTCAACCTATGTTTAGCGCTCTTCCTGAAGACCACTAAACCCATATCCAACAGCTAGCCCAGGGGTGTAGGATAAGCAACAGCGACCTGTGCTGTGTAGCAACCCGGCAGCTAGGCTATTTTTAAATATAGTTTCCTGCTATTCATGATTGCACTCATATTTGAATAAGCATCTCCAGCATATGACATCAGGACATTTACCTTTTTTTTTTTAAGCTTTGAACTTTAGCTAAGAGCAAACAAGGGTTGGAAAGAGAAAGAAAAAATAATCACAAGAGAGAAAAAAACAGTGCCACATTTAAAAAGTAGGGTTTTTTTTTTTTTTTACAGCAGGAGTTGAAGATGGATGTCAGATTTGAATAACTGGGTTCTAATCAAGTAGAGAAAAGTTCTGAAGTCCAAAACTGTAGGAATTTTATATCTGCTCAGAGCTTACACTGGGGCAGACTACCAGTGTATGCATTTTTTTGTCTCTGAGCAAAACCAAGCTGTTACTAGAGATCACAGGATCCTTTATTCCAAGGGTCTTCAAACTTGGCCCTTTTATGACTTGTGGACTTCAACTCATGCCTGGCTGAGGAATTCTGGGAGTTGAAATCCACAAGTCATAAAAGGGCCAAATTTGAAGACCCCAGCTTTATTCTATTAGTACAGATAGACCTCAAGTTATGACTACAATTGAGTCCAAAAATCTATGTTGCTAAGTGAGAAATTTGTTGTGAATGTTGTCCCATTTTACGACTTTTCTTGCCACATTTCTTAAGTGAATCACTGACGTTGTTAAATTAATAACACGGATTAAATTATTTAATTAATAACTTCTCCATTGTCTTTGCTTATCAGAAGGTTGCCAAAGGAGATCACATGAGCCCGGGACACTGCAACTGTCATAAATATAAACCAGTGGTCAAGCATCCAAATGTAAATCATGTGACCCTAGGGCAGTGGTTCTCAACCTGTGAGTCGGGACCCCATTTGGGGTCGAACGACCATTTCACGGGGGTCGCCAAACAACGCAGTCCACCATTTTTTTCCCCCTTTTCCTTAGCTGTGCTATTCCCTTTTATTCTATTGGCTTTTGTCCAGGCTGTCTCTGCCCTGCTGAGCCCGCCAAAAGTCTCATTCTGCAAACAGTGCTGCACCAGTTGAGTAGTCCTCGACTTACGACCGGTTGAGTAGTCCTCGACTTACGACCGGTTGGGGGGTCACGGCATTAAAAAGGTTGAGAACCACTGCCCTAGGGGTTGCTGCTGCCATAGTCGTAAGTGTGGAAAAATGGCCGTAAGTCACTTTTTTCAATGCCGTCGTAACTTCAAACAGTCCCTAAACAAACTGTTGTATGTCGAGGACTACCTGTACCTACTAAGGTGTGCTGTCAAGGGTGAAGTCTTTGTGCAACCGTCCCTCGCCTTCTCTGGCCGCTCTGTGAGAAAGCGACCAGACAGACCCCAGCCACTCACCTTCATCCTCTTCAGAAAGATATCAGGAGGTTGTGGACGGGCTGCTTTACGATACTCCTGGTTGAAGTCACTCCTGCATCTGCTTCTGTGGTTGCCATAGAAACCATTGGCATGCTAAAGAAAGATAAGCAAGAGAGGGTCCCTAATTAATAACTGGGCAATATGGATCGCACGGATGCTCCAAACTTTCTGGTTAGCTTGATACTATAAAACAGACATGTCAAACTCGCGACGTGATGTCGTGCAACATATCGGGACAGTTTTGCCATTGCTGGCAATGGGGTGGGCGTGGCTTCCGCGTCACACGTCCGGCCCACAGGCAGCAGTTTGACATCCCTGCTATAAAACCCGGGGAAGTCACATTTTGTCTTTGACGATGAGAGAAATAATTGAAAAGGATTTGTTATATCACTCTTACACTTGATCAGAAAAGTTGCTCTTCAGACAGGGGCAAAGGACCAGGCGAAGAAATGTTACAGGTGGTCCTTGACTTACGACTGGTTGCTTAGTGACTGTTCGAAGTTCCACTGGGCCTATCTGTGGGATACTTATGACCCAGATTGAAAGTTCCAATCGTCTCTCTCTCTCTCCCCCACCCCTTACGGTCACACGACTGCACTTCAGGTGCTTTGGCAAGCAGGCACATTTATGGCTATTTGCAGCATCCCACGATTACACGAAACCGTGGTTTGCTTAATTGACACGGTCTTCACTTAATGGCCGCTACAAAAATGGTCGTAAAATAGGGTCCGTCACATGACTGATACATTTTTATCACCATCACGTGGTAATGGGCGGTTGTGACACGATGGGCAGCCTTCATTGCGATCGTTAACTCGAGGATTACCTGCTTTGGGAGAAATCAAGACAGCTTCCAAGTCTAAAAAACAAAGGCTACTCTTTCAAAGACATCAAAGTCCACATTTTGGATAGAGAGGACCACTGGTTTGAAAGAGGGGTCAAAGAGGCCATCTATGTCAAAACTGAACAGCCCTCTCTCAACACAGGGGGAAGGGGATATGACATCATCCATCTCCAGTCTACAACACAGTCCTTTCAACAGCTCCAAACAGGCTCCACACCCATTTGCACTACTCAGGTGACCCTGAGGAGTCCTAATAGATAATCACCTAAATATGAGCCAGCAGTGTGCTGCAGCTGCCAAAAAAGCCAACTTAGCGCTGGACTGCATTAACAGAGGGATAGAATCAAGATCACGTGAAGTATTAATACCACTCTACAATGCCTTGGTAAGGCTACACTTGGAATACTGCATCCAGTTTTGGTCACCACGATGTAAAAAAGATGTTGAGACTCTAGAAAGAGTACAGAGAAGAGCAACAAAGATGATTAGGGGACTGGAGGCTAAAACATATAAGGAACGGTTGCGAGAATTGGGTATGTCTAGTTTAACCGAAGAGAAGGACAAGGGGGGACATGATAGCAGTATTCCAATATCTCAGGGCTGCCATAAAGAAGAGGGAATTAAGCTATTTTCCAAAGCACCTGAAGGCAGGACAAGAAGCAACGGGTGGAAACTAATCAAGGAGAGAAGCAACCTAGAACTAAGGAGAAACTTCCTGACAGTGAGAACAATTAATCAGTGGAACAGCCTGCCTCCAGAAGCAGTAAATGCTCCAACACTGGAAGTTTTTAAGAAGAGACTGGACAGCCATTTGTCCGAAATGGTGTAGGGTTTCCTGCCTGAGCAGGGGGTTGGACTAGATGACCTCCAAGGTCCCTTCCAACTTTATTATTATTATTATTATGGATCATCGCACAGTCAGCCAGATGTTCAGACTGGATTTGGCATTTTGTCTACCTATCGAGTCCTTACCCAGGACCTGGGATAGGCAGATGTGGATGTTTGATGGTATTACAGGTATCGTCGCAGGATGGAAGCAGTTCCTAATAAGGCCGCCTTTTGCAATTGACTAATAGCAAATTTGTCAATGCCAATGGTGTTCAAGTGGTGTTATTATTATTATTATTATTATTATTATTATTATTATTATTATAAACTCCCAGGTAGCTTTAACGACTTGCTAAAAGAATGGAAATGAACAGCTGTCTGCAGGAGTATAAATCTTTCCATTCCCCACCATCCAGTCAGAGCTGAAGAAGCTTCTTGGATGAGAAATGAAACATCTTCAAAAAAAAAACCAAAAAAACCCCAAGAAAGTCCAGTTGCCTCAGGAAAAAGCTTCTTTGGGATGCATTTTATGATCTTTAAGTGTTCCTTCAAATGTAATTATCTATATTGTAGACAAGTGACATTCATCCAGATAGAAGTTTAACTTGGCTCTATTCAAATAATAATAACTCTAATAACTCAAATTCTTAGCAACACAATGCCCTGAACAAAAGTCAGGATAGCAAATTACTATCGATCAGAATTAGAAAATAGAAGCTATTTCTGATAAAGAGGAGAACCGAGAAGCTTGTTAATTATAGATGATAGGCCAAAAAGGATCTTGGATTATCAGACATGATATTAAATGGGGGTTGGACTAGATGACCTCCAAGGTGCCTTCCAACTTTACTACTATTATTATTAAATTCCAAAATAATGTTTAGATTTTTGCCTTTAGATTTTCCAACTTATTTTTATAGACCTTACTGGATAAAAAAATATTTTTAAAAATTGAATGCCATGATATGTTGATTTTTGCACGTCTTTTGTGGGTGAGACTTTAGAATAGTCACAAAGCAAAATCTGGAGATTCTGAATTTATGCTGCTGGAAAAGAATGGAATGGAAGCTGGAGACAAAGACTTAGTTTTTCTACACCATTTTTTCTGAGTCTCGTTTTTGACATTTGTAGACAGCTCCCAGGGATACAGCTAATAACATAGTTCCATATTTCATCTAATATGGCAGTGTATATCATACAAACTCCCACCCGGGGTATATTGTGTTAGAACACATCCTTCAGCTTTTCTTGATGTAAAAAAGATGAGACTCTAGAAAGAGCAGAGAAGAGCAACAGAGATGATCACAGGACTGGAGGCTAAAACATATAAGGAACAATTGCTGGAATTGGGTATGTCTAGTTTAATGAAAAGGAGTCAGGGTGACATGATAGTAGTGTTCCAATATCTCACGCAAAACTCCAAAGCAACATCAGCCACAAAGAAGAGGGAGTCAAGCTACTCCCCAAAGCACCAGAAGGCAGAACAAGAAGCAATGCATGGAAACTAATCAAGGAGAGAAGCAACCTAGAACTAAGGAAAAACTTCCTGACAAGAAAGATAAACTTGCTTCCAGAAGTTATGAATGCTCCAATACTGGAAGTTTTTACAAAGAGATTGGACAACCATTTGTCTGAAACGGTATAGGGTTTCCTGACTGAGCAAGAGGTTGGACTAGAAGACCTCTAAGGTTCCTTCCAACTCTGTCACTCTGTTATTTTGATTTATTAATTTACTGAGGGAAGGGTTGAAAGAGGATAATTCGAATGCTTTCTTAAATTATATTTCTGAATCTGGCAGAAGAAAAGACTGTTTATAATATTTATCAAGTGTTGTGAAAGAAATTTTCAGAAAAACATTAGGAAAATTCTCTACAGATGAACAAAATTTGGAAATGGGTTGCTTTCACTGAGGATTTGCTAGAAAAGGCGAAACTATAATTGTAGGGGTCTTATTTAAGCATGCTGCTTCACTGCAAAATCTGGACCCAATGTAGGATAGCTAAGATTTAAGAATATTTTTCTGGAATTCAGAAATAATAATAATAATCAAACAATAGCATCTGTCTGTCCCAGGTCCCTAGGAAGGACTCAATAGATGGTTAAAAATTATCTCTGAAATCACTGGTTGTCCAGTTGTTTCTAATGAAAGCCTCTTGTCATATAGTCTGAAACATACCATCTTTCTTGCTCAAACCATGGTTGGCATCTCTAAAAGGTCACTGGGTTCACATACCTTTATAATCACTTGAAAATTGCTTGTCAATTATGTTCAGCTTTAGAAACCTTTGAACTAAACAATATTGGGTGAGTGTCCTTCGTACCTTAGCAAAACAATACAAATTTAAGGATGACAAAACATTATTTTGAAATAAACAGCAAAAGGGTAATTAGAACTTTGATTTTGGAAAGTTGCAAACAGATTAAGAGTCCAGATGGATTTGAAATAAGATTTTGGAATTAGTTATAAGAATCTTTCCCATGGGAAAAAATTGTTTTGAATGCTCTAAAAAAAACATGATAGGATGAGACTTTGACTGTTGGACACTAGAGTGAACCAGAGGAACTAAAGATTACAATTAAAGGAGAAATTTGACTTACAGGTACTTCTTGTTTAAAAACTGGTTGCTTAGCAACTATTGAAGTTACCCCCCAAATGTTGCTTACAACCCAGTTCCTGAATTCTAAATGCAGCAACTATCCACCTACCCCTATCACATGACTGCATTTTGGACACTTGGCAACTGGCTCATTGTTACGGCCGGTTGCATGTTACACAGTAATGTGACCACAATTTATTATGTTTTGAGCAGTTTCTAGTCTTTTAGTCAAGTTTCTGACAAAAAATGGAATTTATAGGAATTAATGACATATAATGCCAAGATCATGGCATCCGGCCCTCTCAATTCCTGGCAAATATATGGGGAAGAAATGGAGGTAGTGACAGATTTTATCTTCCTGGGCTCCAAGATTACCGCAGATGGGGACTGAAGCCAAGAAATTAAAAGACGCTTACTCCTGGGGAGGAAAGCTATGGCAAATCTAGACAGCATACTAAAAAGCAGAGACATCACCCTGCCAACAAAAGTACGTATAGTCAAGGCCATGGTTTTCCCAGTTGCAATATATGGATGTGAAAGTTGGACCATAAGAAAGGCTGAGTGCCGAAGAATTGAGGCCTTTGAACTACAGTGCTGGAGAAGACTCCTGTGAGTCCCCTGGACTGCAAGACGATCAAACCGGTCAATCCTAGAGGAGATCAACCCTGATTGCTCTTTAGAAGGCCAGATCCTGAAGCTGAAATTCAAAATACTTTGGCCACCTAATGAGAAGGAAGGACTCACTGGAGAAGGGCCTAATGCTGGGAAAGATTGAGGGCAATAGAAGAAGGGACGACAGAGAATGAGGTGGCTGGATGGAGTCA